AGGTGGCTAGTACATGGGAACTCACTGAGTAGATGGGATGGCTGGGGGTGGGGTGGGTGGGAGGAAGGGATCCATCCAGCCATGAAGCAGAGGGATTCAGAGTACATCTTGGTACCATATGCAGCCTACTGTCAAAATAGATGCTTTAAAAATTATTTTTCATTTTAAGAGTCACTTTAATTTCATTTTAATTTACTTCTAGTCTCTCTAGGGAGATGACACAAATAACAAATATTTGGATGGGGGCACAAATTCAAGAAATAGCAACTAAACATTATCTTCAGTTTTACCCTAAGCCTCACATAGTTCCAGCTTCTTCTCATCCTCCTTCCTCCAAACCCTTTTTCTGGATGGCATTGTGGCAGTTCGTCTGGGTTTTGCCTCTGTGGTTTGGCCTCTCCAGCTTCTCTGGGTTGGGTCCTCATTTACCCATTTATTAGAAATAATTTTGCAAACGATACAGATGAACAGCCAGAGGGAAGAGATGTATAGTGCGACTTGTAGGCGAGGGGAGTGTGCAGGTTCTGTGCCCTTCCTGGGTGCGTTGTCTCCCAGAGACTTCTTTGGGATTGGTTGCTCAGAAGCTCTCACATGGTTGTCATAGGCGGGGACACTATGTGCTGCTCATCTCTACTCTTGTGGAAGAATCTGAATGTTTTCCATGGTATTTCTTATGTGGAAAGGAGAAAGCACTAGGTCTTCTGTTACTGATTGTTTCAGATTAAGTAAGTTTCTTAAGTACCCTGGGCCTCTCTTTTTATGTCTTAAAAATGGCAGGCTGAAGGTATAGCTCAGTGGTTAAGCATTTGCATATGCTCAGCATCCGTAGGGCCCTGGCTTTGAGCTTCAGCACCAAAAAGCAAAACAACCAAACCAACAAAAAAAGAAAGACATACATATCTGTACCTTAAGGGGCACCATAGTGTGGTGGTTAAATACAATCTCAGGATCCAGACTGTGAGTTCAAATCTTGGTTCTGCTGCTTATTGGTTGTGTGACCTTGTGTGAGTCATGTAACCTCTCTGGCCTCAGTTTTTTTCATCTGTAAAACTGGCTCAAATAGTTCTTCCATCATGGTTTGTTCTGAGGATTAAACAATGCTTGGTACATAGTTTGTACATCATGGAAGTATTTGTTAAGCAGAAACAGAATTTTTGTGATGACTGTGGGCTGAAGTAGTCCCATTGTAAATTAGCAAATACTCCAGAAGTAATGTATTATTGCTTTGAGATATCAAACCGGTTGCTCTAATGGCTGCATGTCACTGTGAACAGCATAAGTGAGTAAGCAAGTTCATTAGGAAACTTGATTATAAGTCTTTAGTGACTTTTAGTCTGTGGTCACCAAGATTATGGTGTATGTCAGCTTTGTATCCTTGTAGCATACCCACGAGATAATTAACTTATAAAGAGAAAAGGCTCACAGTTTTGGACACTAGTCCATCATTCAGTGGCCCTTTGCTTTGGACCTTTGGTGAGGTAGCCTTTGATGGTGGGAAGTGTGTGGTAGAGCAAAACCTCACGATGGCCAAGAAGCCAAAGAGTGGAAGAGGAACCTGCTGGGGCTCCTCGTCTCCTGTGATGGCCCGGCCCCAGTGATCTAAAGTCTCCCACTGGGCCCCACCTCTTACGGTTTCTACTACCTCCCAATAGAGCCAACCTGGGGACAAAGGCTGTATGTAGCTCATGGGCCTTTGGGGACATTGCAGATAAAACTACAGCATGGTGCTATGAGGGAGAGTCACAACGAGGAAGAACATGGGGATTAGTCTCATTTACGTTGGTGAATGTGACTCTGAAGACTTTCTACTGGGCTCAGAGATGTAAATGCTGATGAGACAGGAGGATCACAAGTTTGTGCCTAGCCTGGGCAGCTTTGCCACTTAGCAAGACCCTGTCTCAAAATAAAAAAGGGGCTGGAGATAGAGCTCAGTACAGATGCACTAGGTTCAATCTCCAGTGCCCCCAAAAAAGTAATAAAATACTTGCAGATGTAGAAACAGATTTAGTGGGATGGAAGTAACTTGCCCAAGGCAGAACTGTGATTCCATTTTATGCCTTCTGAGTCTGGATTGCCCTTGCACTTTATTCAGACCACGTGACAGTGGGGTTGAGATTGGTGTATGAGGAAAAAATAGAACAGACTTGCTGGGAGCCTTCAGCCTCCTCTGGGCTCACCCCTGTTGTTTTGTGCCTGGCAGAAGAGAATGAGTTCATTCTCTACGCCATGCGGAAGTCCATCTATCGCTACGACCTTGCATCCGGAGCAACTGAGCTGTTGCCACTCATGGGGTTGCGGGCAGCGGTGGCCCTGGACTTTGACTATGAACGCAACTGCTTGTATTGGTCTGACCTGGCCTTGGACATCATCCAGGTAAGTTAGCCCTCAGTCTGGTCCTGGGGCTAAGTTTCAAACAAGGGCTCAGGACCTATGTGGTGAGAGGCTGAGGTGAGGTAGATCATTGAGGGCTGACAGACAAACTTGTCAGTTGTGTGCTATAGCTTTTTCTTTCCCTGTGAACTTCTGTCCATAAAAGAAGGATAAAAGAAGCCCCAAATCCACATCTTTGACTGTAAGTAAGGTCTTATTTTTCTAACTGGGAAAATGCTGGGACTAATGCTGGGAATAATGTAGGAGTTTTAGTAGCCCACTAAATCATGATATAGTAACACTTGACTTATCCACACTTCATGTAATTATCCACTTACGTTATTCTGAACACAGACCAGAGCCAGGAATTAGCTGGGTACTGTATTTTTTTTTCTCCATATGGGGAATCAAACTCAGGGCCTCTTGCTTGCCAGGCAGGCACTGTGCTACTGAACTGCATCCCCAGCTCTGGGTACTGTGTTGTATGACTACAGTCCCAGTTACTTGGAAGGCTGAGGCAAGAAGATCTCTTGAGCCCAGAAGTTTGGTGCCATCCTGGCCAATTTAGAGAGATTCTATTTCTTAAAAAAAAAAAAAAAAAAAGAATAAAACACACACACAAGTATACCCACTCACACACATAAAACCAGGAAGTAAGCATTAAAGTCCCTGAATGGACCAGACATACCATTGAATATATACGTTTTAAAGGAAATCTTTTTGATCCAATACACATTTTAGATTCAATGTCTACTTCATTTATTTAGAAAATTAATTCCAATAATGTTATATCTATTCTCAACCCTGAGGAAATTTTTCAGTGCCTGGGTATTGGAGGTGGTAATGGGTGTTGGTGACTGCTGATTGCACTTGTGCTGGTGTCAGCCCTCAATGGCCTTCTGAAGGAAGAAGGACTATAAAAGCAGACACAAGAACGTGAACACAGCAGCAGTCTGGTTCATTTATTTTAAAAGCAAACAGACTCGCACATCTAGGTAATCTCTGACCTCATTATTGTGATACAGGGCCTAGTTAATAGCCAGTGTTCATGATGATAATGCAGAGAAATGTAAATGATTAAATCTCTGCATTGTTCTATTTAAAACAGGAAATTGTAATACACTTTAACAATGTTCTTTTGAAAACCCAGCTTTATGTTTTGTTTTGTTTGGAGACAGTGTCTTGCTATGTAGTTCAGGCTGACCTTCAACTTACTATTTAGCCCAGACTGGCCTTGAACTCCTGGTGATCCTTCTGCCTCAGCCTCCTGAGTGCTGGGATTACAGGCATGTACCACCATGCTCAGCTTTTAAACCCAGCTTCTTGTATCTGAAAGTTTATGACTATCAAAGGCCTCAGCCCTTGGCAGTCCAGCAGTTGAATAAAGGGTTACCTCCCCTTTGTGGGATGAGCTCGCAAGGGGTCATCTGAGCTTTTCACAGCATTTACTCCTGTTTTTCTCTGTTTAGCGTCTCTGTTTGAATGGGAGTACTGGGCAAGAGGTGATCATCAACTCCGGCCTGGAGATAGTAGAAGCTTTGGCCTTTGAGCCCCTCAGCCAGTTACTTTACTGGGTGGATGCTGGATTTAAAAAGATTGAGGTATGTGTAGTCCCATGTCGTTCGTGATGAAGAGAGCAGGCAGAGCACCTGGGCATTGGGCCAGATTGACACAGAGGTAGGAGTCAGTGTTTCAGGTTGCTCTGGAAATTTCCTGAGAACTACAGAATGGACTGGCTGAGCCTCTGGAGAAAGGAGAAAAGGACCATGGGATCATCTCAGAATGATCGTTCACTGCCAAGAAAGTGCCATGTGAGAACAGGATGCTGAATCTATCCAATTTTATTAAAGGCATCTGAAAGTTTATACTTTTGACTATAGAAGCATAGTGTCATAACCATAATGATCATAAGGCCATATCAATAGTAGTCCAATATTGATCTAGAGTAATAATGACAACGTCATCCTTCTCCTCCTCCATTTTATTAATCTGCACCTGTTTGTCACTAAGCTACCCAGTAACTTGTTGCGTCTTATCTACTTGAGGCAATATGAGGTAATACATGGCCTTAAAACAACACAAGCACTGCATTTAGGAATATAGGTAGGCTCAAATCCTGCACTGCCTCAGCAGCTCTGTCTCAGCAGCTCTTTGTGCAGTCACTACATAGAGGTACAGCAGGCGTGTTAATTGGGAATGGCAGGGGAAGCCAGGCGACATGGAGAGCCAAGTGCAGTTGCAAGACAAAAGACACAGCCTTGAAAGGCAGCCCTGAATTCAGGCCTTACCTTGCCAACTAAGTGACATGGCACAAGGGACTCATTTTCTTCAAGCTTCTGTTTCTTCATGGGTAAGACAAAGCTTCATTTACACATTCAGCCAATCCACAAGTGCTCTTTGTGTCTGCTGTTTGTCAGATGTGGTCTTAGGTTCTGATGATCCAGCAGTTGTCAAAACACGCAGGTTCCTGTTCTGATAGACCTTGAAGCTCAGTGGAGGAAGCAAAACGATGAAGAAATGCAGAATTAGTTCTGCTGCTGAGCACTGTAAAGAACATAAGGCAGGGCCTGTGACTGCACGGCCGAGTGGGGCAGCATGAGGAAGGTGGACAAGGGAGGCCTCCTGAGGCTGTGGTGTCTGAGCCGAACCTGACCTTGAATGGGATAATTGCATCCCTCCCAGGGATGTTGATAAAAGCGGAGAGATACGGAGTACCTGGTACCTACTGAATTCTGCCCTGGTGATCTTGTCTCTGTCATTTCTGCCCTCTCCTTTCTTGTGTGTGGCCAGCTAGGTGTGTGTTTGCTAGGTGTTGCAAAAATACAGGTGACATGTAAACTACCACCTTCTCACATGCTTGTTGGGTGACCACTGCTCACTCACCTTCAATGCTCTTGGTGCAAGTGGTGTAAGATGAGCCTATAACCAGAGGTCTTGATGTGCTTTGACCAAGGTGGGTCTGAAGATTTCAGAAAGGAGGCCACCTGGAGCTGGTTGTTGAAAATAATTTACCATGTGTTTATAGCGAGTAGAGTGGATGGCAGGCCTAGGCTGGGACATGGCAGAAGAGGACAGGAGTGAATATGTCAAGCTTGGAGAACTATGAGATAATCAGCCCAGCCAAAACAGGAGACGGGGAATGTGAAGCCTTCATCGCGAGACTATGATATTGAGAATTTGTTTTGTAGGCAGTGTAGAGCTGTTGGTAGCTTTGAAGCTTGGAGTAATATGGGTGGGCTAATAAGTAAACAAACTTGAGTACATTTGGCCCTCCCAGTCTGTGTGTTTTATATCTATGGATTGAAAATACTCAGCAAAGCAAAGCAAAGCAAAGCAAAGCAAAGCAAAGCAAAGCAAAGCAAAGCAAAGCAAAGCAAAGCAAAAGTATACTGAACATGTATAGTCTTTCTTTTCTTACTATTCCCTCAATAACACAGTAGAGACTATTTGCATAGCATTTACATTATATTAAGTATTATAAATAGTCTAAAGAAGATTTAAAGTATGTAGGAGGAGGTGCACAGGTTATATGCAGATATTATACAGTACCAGAGTCTTGAGTATCCTTGGAGTTTGGTATCTGATTGTGTGTATGTTTGTAGAGGGAGGTCTTAGAAGCAACCCGCTGTGGAAACTGAGGGATAACTGCATTTAACTGTGTAGATCATCGTGCCATAGGAATAGGGGCAATGGGAGTGAGGCATATGTAGTTCTAGCTTCTCTATCAGACTATGTGAAAATTCTCACGTGAACCAGAAGAGGAGTCAGTTCATTCCGACTAGAAATTGAGGCAGATTTCTCAGATGGCTCTAGGAAAGGGAATCAGGTGGGTGTAGAGGGTGCACATCTGTAGGTAGAAATTGATAGGGAACTTCGGCAATAAGGACCTTTTAAAGTGCTCATACCTAGTTTGGCCTTCGCCTCCTCTTTTTGTCAGGTAGCTAATGCAGATGGTGACTTCCGACTCACAATCGTCAATTCCTCTGTGCTTGATCGGCCCAGAGCCCTGGTCCTCGTGCCCCAAGAAGGGTAAGTATATCCCCAAAAGGAAATCAGCATTGTATCAGGTGTTGCAACAATAGATCCTCATGGAAATGCAAACCTCTGGGCAAAAACTCTGCTACTTGTGAATTTGGTGGAAATAATCCATTAACTGAGAGTTTTGCGACCACCGCGCAGGCATTGTGGTCAGGTAACTCCATTTGCTTCTCATTAGCAAACATCAGATGCTCTGGGCATCCAGATGTCTTGCATCTGTGGGATGTTTCTCTAGAAAAAGTAATATTAGAAGAGAGTCTCTGTAGACTACATTGGCCTGCTTATATATTGTGAGTGTTTTTTACCTTGAGTTTCACGCATGGCACAAACATTTAATTCAGTCCATCTTTCCCTATCTCCCTCCCCCAGGATATGTGGCCATTCTGACTCAAAATTAGTATGCACTTGGGAAATGCAAAGGTGTTTTTCATTAACTCTTTATGTGAAGGAAACAACTAACATGGAAATCCTGTATTAGTTTTCCTTGCCTTCCCTCTTTCATCGCCCTTATGATTGAGAATTAGCACTCATTTCCAAAAAGAAAATTGTAGAAGCAAACTATGTACTGATTACAAATATTAAAAGAGAATAGAAGTTTATGAAGTGACATATTTTTTCTTCTATTCTCATTCTTCACTCCTTACCGTCATACATCCTAGACTAATCATTGTTAATAGTTTATTGCGTATCATTCAGAATTCTTTTTTACACACATACAAGCATTACCTTTAAAATATATCCTCTACAGCTAGAAGCACATGCACACACCAAATAGAATCATAGCACAGTTACTGCTTTGTAACTTTTAAGTTATATATATATATACATATACATATATATATATATGAGTGAGAGAGATTGAGATGTATATCTTTATCTGTATGTACAATAGTTTCATGTAAGCACATATAGGTTTTTAGCTTTCATTATATTCTACGGCACGCACTATCATTTACTGCTTTTCTCTACTGAGGACACTGTGATTAATATACATATGTGTACATTTTTGTACATTATGTTCACATAGTTTGATTATAAATAATTTCCAGGAAAGGGGTTTATAGGTCAAGGGGTTTAGGGGTTTCAGATATTGTAGTTCCACATGATTATGAAGATTGCTCTAGGGAAGTTTCTTTCTTCATTGGAGTAGAGCTCAACTCCCAAGCCTCTCATTTTGATGAGATGGGTGTTCTATCCCTGTCTTGACCAGGGTGATGTTCTGGACTGACTGGGGAGACCTGAAGCCTGGAATTTATCGGAGCAATATGGATGGTTCTTCTGCCCATCGTCTTGTGTCAGAGGATGTGAAGTGGCCCAATGGCATCTCAGTGGATGACCAGTGGATCTACTGGACAGATGCCTACCTGGACTGCATTGAGCGCATCACCTTCAGCGGCCAGCAGCGCTCGGTCATTCTGGATAACCTCCCACACCCCTATGCCATTGCTGTCTTTAAGGCGAGTCCTCCTTTGTCTCACCAGTGGGCATTCCGCAGAGGGAGTCAAGAGCTTCCTAAGGTCCAGAGCCAGGAGCTTTTGGGTTTTTGCAGAAATTCTGTCAGACTTCTAGGAAACTGGCTCTTTTCTAAATTTGAGATAACTTGTTTAAACTATTAAGGAGGGATGCCGGACAAAGGTGCCAGAGGGCCTGGCTTCCAGACCACTAACATTTCAAAAAGCTAAGAGCTAAGATGATTTCTCATGAGTGTTCTGGATTTGCCTTTCAGTACTAGTAGCTTCATTTTGGTTCTGAGTCTTCACCTTGTATAAGGTTTCCTCGCTTCATTCCTCACTGACTGGAGAGGAGCAGCATATTCCCTCTGCTGTCTTTAAGGTCTCTTTGTATTCCAGAGACCCCTGACCAACACTGGGAAGCAGATTTCAAACTGAGGAGCTCAACTGTAGTCAAAGTTCAGTGCTCACCAGATGGTTTTTTGGCGGGCAGGTCTTCTATGTGGATAGTTGGTAGGGTTTGGATAAAAACCACTGACTCTTGCATTTGAGTGGAATCTTAAGCCAGTATTTAGCCAGTAAATGTTAGTTGTCTCCTGTATCGGGGAGCTCTTGTCTTTGCAGAAGATCCATAGTGAAGCGCAGAAGATCCATAGTGAAGCGCAGAAGATCCATAGTGAATCACAGAAGAGCTGGCCTAACAGGCAAAGGTTTTCTCTTTAGAATGAAATCTACTGGGATGACTGGTCACAGCTCAGCATCTTCCGAGCTTCGAAATACAGCGGGTCCCAGATGGAGATTCTGGCCAGCCAGCTCACAGGGCTGATGGACATGAAGATTTTCTACAAGGGGAAAAACACTGGTAAGACAGTCGCCCCCTTCATCTTGAGAGTTGATCCCAAGAAAGGGGCTGCGTGTGGGCAATCTCCACTCAGAGCAGGATCTGGCAGCCTGTGTCTTTGTTGTCACAACAACGTGCACATTATTTAATTTCTTCCTAATGATATCTTAATTTCTTTTCTAATGATACACAAACAGCTGGAAGACAGCATGTTTTTGCCTGCCGAGAGTGTTGGTGCTTGGTGGGTAATTACAGCCTCCTTCTGCCCTTGGCCCCTCACTGATTGGTGGTGTGGCTTCGGTTACAGCTGGGAGAGGCCCAGCATGTGCCTAATCCCCACTTGGCACACTTACAGGGAGTCATGCTGCGCTCTGGGCTGGGTGCTCACACGGCCATGTGCCCACCGAGCATGCCCACCTCTGTTGCAATGCTGTGTAGTAGTTGTACGTTTCCCGCCCTGAACCTCTCAACACCGTGAAGGAAAAGTTTGTGCTTTTTTTTTTTGTTGTTTCTCAACAGTTTTACCAGTCCCTAGCCTTTCGTAGGTGCTCGGTTCATATTGGGAGAAAGGGTGAAGAGAGAGGGGAAAGCTGCAGTGAGTGTAGACGTTTTCCATCGTAAGACCTATTGGAGGGGGAGGCTTCAAGCACTGCAGGAGGCTTTGACCTGCAGCCTGGAAGCTGTGACTGTTCGGTAGAAGCTTCCTTTCTTCCTTGACTGCCCGTGACTCTTGTGTATCTCCACCTGTGCTGGCAATTCTGGAGGAGAAGGACCAGAGCACTCCCAAGAAAAAGAGTCCCTTTAAGAATTACCGTCCTTATCACCACAGGATTAAATGGCATCCTGGGTCTGCTGACTCTCCTTTACTGACAGCCTCTGGGTTACTTGTTTTGAACTAGCATGTTGATACTGTTTTGCTGGTTCTTGGCTTACCCTGTACTAACAGAAAAATGACAAGGAAAATAATACGGTTATAGATAACATTGTTCTCCCTTTGGGACTGAGGAAGATGGCATGAGAACTCCCCTGGAAGATGATAAAGTGTCCTACAAATGTAGATCTGTCTTACTGTTGAGCCTTCCCCACTAACCTGTCACAGGAAAGACTAGTATTACAATTCATGGTTTGCAGATGAGGGAAAGAAATCTTAGATATTAATTAGCTTTCTCAAAAGTTCTCCCAAGTATAGGGGCTAAGCTTTGGGTGCAGTCTTGGAGAAGTCACATTCTTTTGAGAGAAAATACATGTTTTAAAATAGGGAGTGTAAAGGAATCTTGTTTCTCAGCATCAGCAGCTGAAATCTCTGGCCTCTATTTGACAGAGGCCCCACTCCTCCCACTACCTTGTGGAGTGCGTTGCCAGCGTTTCTCTAAGTTGACCTCTAGTCCAGAAGAGCCGGACTTCATTTTACAAGTGTGTGCAAGCACATGTTTGATGTGCACACAGCAGCATCTAGGCTTCCCAGTCCTGTTTTGGATCACACTTCACCCCAACAGCTCGAACATAACTGAGCACTTGTGGTCTCCTGGTATAGGACAGACAAGCCTGCACTTCTCAGTGTATTTCCCTTTTGGGTCTCAAAGAGTCACCATTTAAATCAGCCAGAGTAATTCTAGGGGTCAGGGTAGGGTCGCAATTGAGTAAAACCTGACTTGAAAGGGTGATATGTGTCGTAGGGTGAAACACAGACTGGATTGTGCAAGAGCAGGTGTGACTATCCCTTTGGCCCAGGGCCAGTTACTGAATCTCTGCTCCTGTCTCTGTGTTGAGATTCCCTTGCTGTCTCTTAGTTTTGAGCAAGACATTTCCAGGTGTCCTCTTACCTATAGATTCAGGGGTAGAGAAACAGGCACACAGTCTCTCAGGCCACTTTGAGTTAAATCAGAGCTTTAGCAATGGCATCTGGCTGCCCGTGTAGCCTGTGTACACTGCTTACCTCTTGGCTTTCAGCTTGTTTCCTTTTAGGTCTCTGCCTTGTTGGCACACTGAAAGGGTATTGCAAGTTCTTGATGCATATTGGCAACCCCTGATGCCTGTCCATCTGTATTATTTTTGTTATCTGCTCCAAACACAGACGGGTTTTGTATTAGTCAAGTGTAATACAATGATAAGGTCATTTATTAAGAGGTTACTCTGTCATCTGTGCCACACTAATATGCTCTTGAGCTTGGGTAATCTCCTTAGACTTCCCTAAACTAATGTATACAATGAATATTCCCATTTTATAGGTGAGAACGTAAAAATCCGGTTCAGTAACTTGTCCAGGTCATACACTTAGTAAGTGATAAGAATTCAAGCCATGAACTACTTGACCTAAGTGAACTTCAGTGAAACCATCAGGCTGTGCTCCTTCTAGCCTCTGTTACTGAAAGGGCATCACTCTGTTATCATGGCAATAATTTAGGATACCACATTTTGATTAATGCTGGTTTGTGCTAAAAATTATGCTTACTTGGAAGCTTTATTAATTGTTATTTGGTTATAAGTGGGTGGATTTCTTGTCTTGATACCTGGCTGATTTTTAAGTAGTGTTACTGGAATTTATTTTTCACAAAGAGTTTTTTTCCTTTAAAAAGATTACTTCACAAGGTTATTGATGTAGTCAATTGATACTACAATGTTTTAAAATATTTTATAGTTCTTGTAAATTCTTCGGAGCCTGCATTAACTACAGCCTTTTACACATTTATAATGAGGGCAAATATTCATTACTTAGGGATAGACGTGATTTTGATAGTTGCCAAGTGCAGAGATACTTCAGTGAGATAATAGTATTTGTGACTCCTAAACTGACTCTGGAGGAATTTTTTCAAGGAGGAAATCTGAAAATGTTCTGAAGATGCTCTGTGAAGATGTGCTGGGGCTGTTTGGTTTTCTAAGGGGACATCTTTAAAGATGGTTTTCATTCTCCATATGACGATGATGATCTCCATACTGTGCACCTACCTACACAGCACGATTGGCATCCTGAAGGGTTTGTGGCTGTGGTGGGAACTCTGCTGCTTCTTCCTTCTATCTCCTTCTGTCTGGTATAGCACTGTTCCCTCGCTTTGTCCCTAACCAGATGCTCCTGCCCTGCCTACCTGTTGCAGTCAAGACCTGGTTGGCTTGGTTTGGAGTTTGCCCTTGGATGCTACTACTCAGACTACCATTTCTTCCATCTTTGTCTAGATCTTCCTCTTGAAATAGAACACATTTTGCGTGCTGTACGCTTTGCTCTTGGTTGGGAGGGAACATCTGTGCACATTATTTTATAGACCTAATCCATTCAAAAATATCATCCCATAACTGAATATGTTTCAATAACATATTCTGTTACTGCTTATTTTCTTAGAACACTGAGTGGTATGCTGTTCTCTGAATACAAAGGTCATGTACCAAATCCATTGAATTGTTTTTCAGTAGTGGTGGCTCTGTGTCAATTCCACATCTTTTTGGGGGCCAGGGGCTTGTATATTTAGCTAAAGGAACAGTCAGTGCCCACAGATCACCAGTGAACATCAGTCAAAGGCTTCTTCTGATCAACTGATTAGTTTACTGTGGTAATTAAGCCATTATGGCTGATTAAGTTATTTGATGAGCCTTTTTGGATATGTCCTCACATGGATTTCTCACTGGATGTGTATATTTTGTCTACTTAGCAATGCCACTTACTCTTTTCTTCAGCATCAAAGTGACATTGTAGCAAAATCCTTGTGGTTTAAAAAAATCATAATGCCACTTAGAACTGATAGGATACCAATTCATCCAAAGCTGTTGAGTGTATTGTCACCTGAATGAGCACTGATTGTCATTAAAGAAACCTGTATTCCAACCTGTGGGTCAAGATAGCTTAGCTGAGGTTTGGCTGGGTGAGCACAGATTATGGTACTAGAATATCTGATGGTGGAGTCTCCGTCTATGAGACAGCACAAGAAAAGAATCAGCATTGAGTTTTACCAAAGTTTTTAATATTTGCTAAATGGCCCCAAACAACAACAACAACAACAACAACATATAGTTTATAATTTTGGCTTTTGTGTTCTTACCTGTTGTTAAAAAATAGGTTATATATCCTATTCCTGCCCTGCTGAAGATATGGGGGACAGAAAAACACCTTTGCCGCTTTCTGTTCACCCACACAGCTCTCTGAGAAGTGCAGAGATGGATGCTTTGGACTCTGTGTGACACTCTCTTTGCTAAGCTGACCCAGAGAGAAAATAGTGGGAGAGATCAACATTAACCAGTTGTTCTGTGGATTTATGGCATGATAGTGGCTGATGAGTACTGTGGTTGCTTCCTTAACTGTTCCACATCAAGGGAGTGAAAAAGGGAGCCCTGGATTTTTATCTAGACTCCAGCTTATCCTGTGAAAGAAAGGATTTTGGGTGCTAAGGAGCAGAACCTATTCAGGCTAGCTTAAGTGATGAAAAGTGTTACTGAGTGAAGCAAGGGAGCTAGTAAGGAACCCCGTCATGGGATTTCTAGGTGAGTCTTATGTGGACTGCAGCTGGGAATGGCAAAGCCATCATTTTTCTATCTAGGGACCTAGTGGGATCCTCTCCATAACTCCCTGCGTCCTAACTCCCTTCAGACTGATGATCGCTGCACACTCGAGTTTGTCTTAGCACAGCTTTGACTGGTGCAAGGCTTTGGCTTTGCTTTGGCATATGCATTCTGTAACTCTTCTCCAAGCTCCAGGTCCCTGGGTGTTTCCTTAGTCTTTTAGCAACCAGGTCCATGGGGGAGGAACATCTGCTGCCTGGTTTGGCTCCGGGGCAGTTTGATGGAGTGAAATAGAGAAGCAAATCTTTGGGGAAAGCAGGGCTGTGAAGGTCAGTTCTGCTGAAGGATCTGAGCAAAGGCTCTCTGCACAGAAGGTGTCTTGGGGCTGGCCACATCACCTTCCTAAGCTTCTTGACGTAGTGTCAGTGGGATGAAGCAGTTGCTGCGGGTCTCCTCTGCTCAGTGACTCCCTTGTGTGTATTCACCATAGTACTGTGGCTGTGTGTCTCCTCTCCAGGAAGCAACGCCTGCGTGCCCAGTCCATGCAGCCTTCTGTGCCTGCCCAAGGCCAACAACAGCAAAAGCTGCAGGTGTCCAGAGGGGGTGGCCAGCCATGTCCTCCCTTCTGGGGACTTGATGTGTGACTGCCCTCAGGGCTATCAGCTGAAGAACAATACCTGTGTCAAAGACGGTGAGTCCTTTTTTTTTTTTTCCCTTATTTTTTTTCCCCTTTTTCCACTTTCCGTGGCTCCATGTACCCTTTGTGATGTTGGAAAGAGTCCCAGGTGAAAATGTAACTCACTAAATACCCAGAGGATCCTGGTTTGGGTGCTAGGGTCTGTGGCACTTCAGTGCTCATTCAGAAGAAACCCAAGCTGTGCAAGTTATGGTTGTGCCTTTGGGTTTAATGTCAGCTGACACAGTCATCATCATGTGTCTTCCTTTCCGCACCCACATCTAGGTTCAGCAGCTTCTATTTCTTATAAGTTGGACCGACTTACCTTGAAAACATAGCTGGCTTGACTCTATCAGAGTCAGCTGCTATCACCCACCAGTCGTCTCTCAGCCACCTCCAGCCCAAAAGGGTTGAACTTTCAGACCAGTGTTTAATAAAGGTCTGAAAGTCTTGACTTCTAAGTCATGACCAAGCAGCCTTACTCCCTCTTTATTTGCAATTTGAATACATGGGTTAAAATCTTTTCCTCTGAGACGCTGCTTAATTTTTTTCCCACATACTTCTCACCATTGCTGCTTTCTCAGTCCTCAACCTCATTTTTCCATCAGTATGTGGAACCCCTAACGGAAGCTTTGCCACCAAGTACCTGGATTGATGGCCAGAATTCCTGCATTTCCTCAGGCTCCAAGTTATATTTGCTTTGTAATCCTAACCTCACTTCTCGCAGCAGCCTCTGAGGCCAGGCAGGCAGACACACAATGGAAGCCTTGTAGTCCGTCCTCCTTAAGAAATACAATGGAAAAAAGATAGACCATCCTTCCTTGGAAACAGGAGCCATTCAGGCTCCCGATGTCACCTTAAAACTGGGAAGAAATAGTGTCAACACCAAATTCCAAGAGAAGGGCAAACAGCTCCCCCCTTTTCCCCATTAGAATGGCACTGATTATCCAAACATGATAATCATCAGGTGCCCTTGATCCAGCTTATTAAACAATGCTTTTTTCCTGTGTAAATATTTGTTTTAAAGAAGCAATGGGGCAGAAAAAAATCTCTTAGTAGTCTTAGTGAGCCACTTGGGTATTAAATTAAATAAATATGGATATATACTGTGTGTAATTATATGCAGATATTCCTAGGTGAGCTGGCTTTGGGATTTCTTTGGGTACCATATAACACAGGTGCTCACGTCCCTTATACAAGATGATATAGTATTCACGTATAACCTATGCACATCCTCCCATATATGTTAAATCATATTCTCTCATATGTTAAATTGTGTCTAGATTACTTAGACCTAATACAAGGTAAATGGTATATAAGCACATGTACTGTATTGTGTAGGAATAATGACAAGAAAAAATAGTTTATACATGTTTAGTACTGACACATTTTTCCCTGGAATATTTTCAATCTGCAGTTGGTTGAGTCTGTAGATGTGGAACCCATGTATATATATATGTTTCAGTCCTTTATAAATACAGACCAGTAAGGAGATGCTTGTGTGATGAGTATTACATAATGCTGCTCTGATATCCTTGCCTCAGCAGACCCACCTGCTGTCATCGTTATCCTTTTTTATCATTGTAATCACTTTTTTTTTAAAAAAATAACTTTATTGGTATACTATTGATATACATAATGATCACATTCATTGTAGGAAATTTGTACCTGTGCATGTATAACTTTATTGTTCTCCCCAACCCTGCAGTATGACCATGCCACCCTGAACATGCCCATTCTCATCTGTAATCATTCCTTAATACTCCTTCCCACAACTTCAAGGAGGAAAGGAGGAGGAAGATGCTTCCTTCCTTGCGTGCCTGTGTGCTTGGCAGCCTTCCCCTCTCTACCACTCAAGGCACAGTGTTCTATGCGGAAAGGAATGGAAACTCAGAATGTCCTATGGTCTAGCAGGAAGAATAATACTGATTTCATTTCTTCCCTATTTAGAGAACACCTGTCTTCGCAACCAGTATCGCTGCAGCAACGGGAACTGTATCAACAGCATTTGGTGGTGTGATTTCGACAACGACTGTGGGGACATGAGCGATGAGAGGAACTGCCGTAAGTCTTCTGGCTTGGTCCAGTTATCAGGATGCTAAGTCTTACCCAGCAGGCTGGTCAGCTCCTCCATCGGGGGTGGGGCTTGGCTAACAGAGAAAGCACGGTCCCACATGCACATGTATATCGGTTACATAGAATTATCTCATATATGCACACACATGTATTTAATCAATAAGCTGAGTATTCATTGCAGGAGACTTATTATAAATGTCGGTTGCATGACTGACATGATTGACAGTCTGGGTTCTAACCTTGGTTTTGGTCCTGTAAGAAAGCTGGTGACATGGAGTGGATGACCAGGTGATGTTCTTTGATTTGTAAATTTAATGATCAGCCTTTCCAGAGGTGGGCAATGGGAGTCACCTTGTGTGCTTCTCCAGTTAGGTGATGTCAGCTGCCTGCCAAGCTTATGCAAGATTGTTATAATTGATTGATGATGCATAATTTGGGCTGGAATACAGGATCTTGGGTGTCCTATGTAAATGTCATCTTTCTACCAAATAATTTCTAAGATCCAAGTAAAGTATATGACTTTCCTTAGCAGGATTTAAAGAAAACAGAAAGAACACTAAATGGGTCATTACTCTATTGACTACAAATCTTAATAGCATTGACCTCATTTTATCAAGGAAATGCTTTGCCCTCTGTCAGTTGTATGTTCACCCAGTGTGTGTTTATCAAGCACCCTCTGTTCCAAGCTCTGTCCTGGTGATCAAGATGGAGTCAGGGAGTTTGCAGTCTGAAGGACAAGTTTGAAAAGTTAAACAGTAGTTACCACAAACAATGAGTGCTGTGATGGGAAAGCACCATATGAGGTAGGAGGACACCCTAATCAACAGCCCTGAAGGGTGTGTGGGTGCACCAAGCAGAGGTGAAGGAAAGAAAGACCTGGGCAAGGGTGCAGCTTTGTGAAAGGCAGAAGTCCGAGTATCAGGACTTGTGAAGATTGATGAGAATTGGGCCCAGTGGGGCAAGGAGAGTTGAATGAATGGGCAGAATCCAGATCTGCAGGAACCTTTTGGATTTTATGGGAAAAGCAACTGTCAACCATTGAACTAACATGAAAAAATTTTACCTTTGGAAAGAAAAGCTGTGGGCAGAATGAATTGAATGGGAGAGAGACTAGAAGCAGGGAAGGATGAAGCCAAATGAGGAGGCTTCTTTTTCAAGGATGTTAGCTTTCCTTTCCTAACCCTTTCCATTTACTAACGGTAGTATAAGAACAGGTGTGTGGGCAGCTCTGCATACTCCTCTGGTCCTGGCAAGTGAATGCAGACAGTCATCTGGGAACAGGGGCCAGGTTCCCACACCAGTTCACCAAGAAGAAAGCAGCTGTGGAAACACCCAAGTCGTCAAGCTGGTCTGGGCCCCACAGTGCTGGGCATTGCTCCTTTTGGCCGGCAGGAGGTTGTGTATGAAACCCTTCGCCATTACTTTTCATTACTTTTCATTACTTCTGCCTTCAGTGCTGCCTCTTATCCCCAGGGAAAAGGGTCTACTTAGTGGTAAGTTTGGAAGGTGTAAGCCTCTCCAGGTCTGTCCTTTGCAAAAAAGGGCTCTGACAAAGATACAGCCATTTCCACCTTTCAGGGACGTGGGAAGGTGTGATATTTGTGAGGGATTAGCCAAAGCTCTTCAAAAACACTAATAAACATGATTAACAACATGAAGCAGTGGAACAGAGTTTATTACAAATCAGTGTGGAGGAAGAGGACCTTCTTAGAGTTCACATGTGTGAGAGAAACTGCCTAAACATATTTAGGCATAATAGAAGCAAAGAGATACAAACTAGATGTCCAGTAGTTAGGGACACAGGGTAGCATGTTATTTCTCCTCTGCCCCTGGGCTAAGAGTCTACTAGACCGGCAAACTGGATCTCATATTGGTTCTGGGTTGTGAAGGAAGTACTTCTATCTTCATGCTGCCCTCAGGGAGGTCCACCTCTTTCCTCGCCTCAGGTCTGGACCTGACCTATGGCTTCAGCTCCTGCCCAGGGATGTAGTATGGAGCTCACTTGGTACCTTTTGGTTTGGTATCAATGTCAGCTGGGCTGATTTTCCTGAAACCCTGAAACTTGCCTTCTCCTCTGCTCTCTCCCAGTTTGACTTGGCTCACAGCCCCCCCAACAGATGTGAGAGAGGTGAGGAGATAAGCAGTGTTTTGGGAACAAAGCAGAGGGGCGTGATCAAGCCTTCCTATGGTCTCCCTTTTAGGGAAGGTGTGTGCTGATCAAGACACTGTGGGGCACCCTTGTCCCCAAGCAGGCAGCAGGAGAGGGACAAACACCAAGGGAGTGCTTTGGTGTTGGGAGTTCGGCTGCCAGGGAAGAGCTGAGGAGGGGTGAGGAAGGCGGTGCAGGAGGGATGTTGTCAGTCAATTTCCCTTCTCTTAAACAAACTCCTCCTGCTGGGTGGATGTCAGGCACGAGGGTTTTGACGTGAAGCCCCTGCAGCCTTGTCATTTCACATTCATCCCCTGCCTCCCACCATGAGCTCAATTACAGAGAAGAAATGGAACCTGAAATAAGAGCTACTGGGATGTCTAATAGCAGTGTTGCCATTCCGGTTTCATTGCGCGGCACACCCCCACCTCCATCCCTGGATTCTGTTCTGCCACATGCTGTCTTCTGTATCAGCCCCTCTGCATCTCGGGAGAACAGCCTTCCTCTCCTGTCTCTCTCCTGCATGGGTCCTTCCTTGTATCCTGAGGTTTGTGCACAAGCTCAGGAAGCTTATGTTTAGCAGAGGGAGAAAATCCAATTCTGTGCTCATTCTGATGCCGGAAAGGCACGGAACATGATGAAGAAGAGAAGTGACATTTGTTTAAAGCCCATTATTTTTATGTATCCTGTTCAATAGGCTGTGATCCCAAGCTTGTTTTCTTCGTTTTTCGTTGTGGTGCTCCCAAGGTAGTTAATATCTGCATTCTGTTATAGAGGGAATAAAGAAGGCAAAGAGGGCTAGGTGAAGTCAACTGTAGGTGGTAGAATAAACTCCAAATTTAGTGTTTCCGATTGTGGTCACAAGTGCATGGTCACATTACCTTAGTCTTATTTTATTGTTGGAGAAACTGAGGCTCACGGAGGTTTAAATTGATCACCCATGAAGGAAGTATAGACAGAATTTGATACCCAGCCTTGTCTGACTACAGACAGAAGCCAGGTGTCTGCTACAAAATTCTGCCTCTGCATTACCTTTTGTTCCTGTATGTACAGTGAGGTGCCGGCTTCTTATGTGGAATTGGACTTCCCCAGCATTAGTTCTGTAGCTAAAGGTGCTTCTGTCACCTATGTAGGAAGATACCTTTATGTCGTAGGCCTTCACTTCTGAAGGGGTAGTAGCAGGCAATCTAGCCCCTCATGGTCTCTCTCAGCCAGGTGACAGTTTCTCTCTTTTCTAGGCCCTGTGCTCTCTGAAGCTATCCTTGGAAAGATATGCCCTTACCTCCCTTAGTTATTAATTTCACATTCTCAGGGAATTTATTTCTTCCATTATGTCTAGGTCCAATTTCTGTTGTTACGCTTAAAGTCTGCTTCCTTTTGTTTCTGTTTTGTTTTTGATTTTTGGGACTGGGTCTTGCTGTGTAGCTCAGGCTGACCTTGAACTCACTATGTAGCGTAAGCAGGGCTCGAACTCACAGTGACCCTCCTGGCTCAGCCTCCCGTGTGCTGGGATTACAGGCATGCGCCATGACACCCGGCTTCCTTCTGTTTTTTAATTGGTTTCCAGTAGGAAATTTGTGTCTGAGGGGAATGAATTGTACCTAACAAGTATATCATCTCTCTTTCCCATCGTAGCTACCACCATCTGTGATTTGGACACCCAGTTCCGGTGCCAGGAGTCTGGGACTTGTATCCCACTGTCCTATAAATGTGACCTCGAGGATGACTGTGGAGACAACAGTGATGAAAGTCACTGTGGTAAGGCACATGCTATCCAGAAATCCATCGAAGGTGGGGTACGGCGGTCACCATACTTCACTGGGTTATACTAGTGGATGGGGTGTGCAGGAAATGGAGATTTCTGATATCCATTTCAGTATTTATGATCTTCCAGCTGCATGGTCATTTCCATCTAGATTGCAGCAGTGAGTTCTTTCCTTCTGGTGTTGTGACAGAACTTACTTGCTGTTTTTCATGAAAATTCAGGTCTAGGAATATGTGACCCAGATTTAATGGGACACTGGGTTCATGGTCAGAAAAGATAGAACCTAGACTCAGCTCCTGTCACTTGTTTTCTCTTTGCTTAACTTTCATTTTTTAATCTGGAAAATGAAGAAACAGACCCTGCCTTGTCTTGCAGAGATGCTGTAAGGGTACAATGTGATGGTGAGGAAGATTTCTGAATGGTTTCAGTGGGTGGTTAACAGCTACACAGACTCGGCCTACGTCTTGGAGTGGGTGTGAAACAAGCTGCTTGAAGGCACAGATCTGTACCTTTGTGAACTGTTTATTTTTTTAAGCCAGCCTCATTCAGTAAACTCTATTAAAAGTCAGCAGTGCTGTAAGCTTTGATTGAGCATCTGTTTTCTGAATGGGAATTTAAAATTTTAGAAGAGTGTGTAACAATGGCAGGAAGTAACAAAGGCAGGTAAATAGTCTCTAGGCCAGTCCCTTTAATCTCCACATTGAGTGAGGAGGTCCACAGGGCTTAGAAGGCATATTCAAGGTGACACAGTTAGTCTGTGTCAGAATGCAGTGAGTGGGAGGTGACTGCGACCTGTGTCTCCTATTTTCTGCTCCCACGCTCTTTCTGATGCACACCATTGCCCTGTCAGTTCAGGAGCCCTTCGTTAGCAGGCTCTGGTTCTGTCCTTACAGCTGCTGACCACGGAAGAAAACAGTGCAGCACGCTCAGTGCACCAGAGTGGAGAGACCGTAGGCACAGCAGTGAAGTGAGAATGGAGGCCAGATGCCGACCCAGCCACGGCAATGAGTTGGTGTGCCTGGTCAGGCCCCCTCTCTTGTCTGCAGGGTCAGATCCGGCCAGGCTGTGCATGTGCATATGGATCGGGCTTGCTTTGTTAGGGGCAGGTGGTTTAACTCACAGGGACTAAAATAAAAGGAGTAAGGGCTGCTCGTAAATCACTTTTACGCAAGGGAACTAATGGAGCACACCCAGGGCCACTTTCACATGGACGATAACCCTGGTTTGGCTCTGGAAGGAATTTTTTTCTCTTTTTTGGTTCCTTAATTCTCCTTCAGCGGGGGCTGTAAACATGTGCTTGGGATTCTCAGGCATCTCCCCTCTTGTTCCTGCCTTTGCTTCCGCTGTTCTCAGGAGGCTGAAGTGAGCTGAAGGACTTGATTAGGAGGGAGGAAGCTCCGTGTAGCTCTGTGTTCCCTGTTCCCAGGTCACGCAGCTCCCCCAGGGCACATGGGCGGCTACTCAACAGGTCCGCCACTATGCCCCATCCCTGCTGGTTGGTCCTGAATCCACCCCAAGGTCCCGCTTAGTCCCTTGTCTGATGCAGGTCCTCCTCACGCCTCCAGAATCTTTCCGTGTAAGCATCTGCTTCACTGCCTTCACCATCAGCCTGTCTCTGCTTAGGTACTCCTGTTTTCTGAGGCTGTGGAAAATTCCACTGGAAAGTTCCAGGGCTCAGTCTTCTGGGGCTGCTGTTCCAAAATACCTTACAGTGAGTAGTTTATTAACAGTGGACATTTATTTTTCCCAGTTCTGGAGGCTGAGAAGTCCAAGATCAGTCACCACCAGATTCAGTATCTGGTGAGGCCTATTCCCATAGACCATTCATTCTCTATGTCCTCATGGGAAGAGGGGTGAACGGTTCCCTTGTACCTCTTATGTTAGGTCACTAATCCCATTCTTAATCACCTCCAAAAGGCTTCACCTCTTGATGTGATTGCACTGGTGATTACATTTCCACTTAGGAATTTTAGGGAACATATTGCAGACCATAGCTTCTGTTTTAATGATCTCCATAGACCTAGGAAAGCTGTTGTAGCAGCCTCCTTTCTAATCTCAGGGTACACTGGTTTTGAGACAGGCCGCCCACTGACATCCAGAACTGCCCACAGAAGGCCTCAGCTATGTTTCTTCCTACGTGGAAGCTCAGCACTCACCTTCCTTTCCCTGAGCTGAGCCTCTCCTGATCAGCACACATGGACTTCTCCTTACTTGTTTTCTCAAACCCCATGCCGTGTTTCTACGAGTCTTCTCTTTCCTTGAAAATTCTACTCTTTGGTCTCCACCATCACTGCTGCCAGCTCTGTTCCTGTCTTAGCACAGAAGATGATGCTATCTGTGGACTGCACCAGCATAAATACACAAGGCTGCTCTTGCTGAGAGGCAGCCCACTGTATGAGTCCAAGGGTGGGAATAATCCATTTGCATCACACTTGGTGGAAATTACTGTAGATGAACATAGATCTCTGGTTAAAGGTCTGTCCATATAATTTACAGATAATAAATGATAAACACCCCTCGTCAAAGTTCTCTTTATCTGAGTTATGTACAGGTAATCTGTGATACGGGCCTGTCTCCAGCCCAAGAGCTTTGATGCCAGACAGAATTCTGAGCAAGCTTTTGTCTGCATTAGTGCTTGTTGTCTCCCCTGCAGAAATGCACCAGTGCCGGAGTGATGAGTACAACTGCAGCTCTGGCATGTGCATCCGCTCTTCCTGGGTGTGTGATGGGGACAACGACTGCAGGGACTGGTCCGACGAAGCCAACTGTACCGGTCAGTATTTCCTAGACTCAGTTACCGCTACTCACCAGCTTGTGTGCTAATTAACATACATCTTTACTGGGTCATAGAATCTGAAGTCTGAGAATCTGCTTGGACTTTAGAAGTCAGCTGATTAGTGCTTCTCAGAGAGCTGGGATGAGACAAGGAGCATGTGCCAGAATATAAATTAACAACCTTCTTCTTTCATCAAGAAAGTCTAAGTAAGAAAAATGGCAATAGAACTAAACAGTGTTCTGAGTGATATAGTTAGTTTTATTCTGGTTCATTCTTCTTAATTCTCAATTCTTTGGGACCAACAACACAGTTTACACACCAGCCCCTGGTGTGGGGACCATACTTGGAGTAGGACTAAGCTAGCTCATATTTTTCAAATGGAGCATCTCAGGGTCTCCTAAACAGTTAAAAGTAAACTGTATTTGTGCCTATTTGAGATAAAATTTCATTGAGAATAAAGTTAGAAACATAAATGTGATAGGAATAACAGGTGGTATAAGATAGGGTCAGTGTTCTAATTCTTGCCGTAGGTTCACTCATGTTTCTTATAGTATTTTTATGAATCAGTGAATGAATGAGTGGTGGGTACATACACTATGGTGGAGGGAGTAGGTAGAACTCTGCCTTCCATGCACAGGATGGTGTCTGTTTACATTCAGGACAGTAGCCGTATACATCACACAGGATGCTCTGTGACATTGCCACAGGGCAGTCTCTGAGAAAGCTTCCTCATGTCCTTTTCAATGCAGACTCAGTGTCTGGGTGTTTGCTTCTGGAAAATGCCTTTGTGTACAAGTGTGGCCCATATAGGTGGGTGGAGGAGGTGCTGTTAGCCGAGGAAACACATAGAAGCTGACTGGAGGCTTTGGGTTCAGATGGATAATTGGTTAATAAATTAGAGAGGCACACTTGAGCGTTTTTGTTTGTGAACTGCAGTGTGAGAGAACATCTTGTTTGCACAACCACATTAGTTAGTCTTCTGTTTCTGCAGCATGTGCTGGTCTTCCAGAATGAATTACTAACTGCAGTTCTTTGGGCGGGTTTGTCATACACTCCCAGTTGTATCTCTGGCTTTTTTCTACCAGGGCTCACTGGGAAAATTTAGAGTTCTTGCCACTCAACTGCAGCCTTGTTCCCATGGCTGTTTATCCGGGTGTTTTGACGATGATTCTCTTTCTCATATCAGAATGGCCGGAGATCTGATGTGAGCTCATTATAATGTGTATGTGACATTTCACTTCCTGATGTATTAAATTAGCTATGTACAATGTCAGAGAAAATAAGTCAGAGAAAATAAGCTTCTGACCTCCCTTTGCCTTGGTGTACATACATTCTCTATGCTTGTTCTGCTTCCTCTTTTGCTATCCATGGGGTTCTGGGTGGTCTTTGTTCCTTTCAACCCTCCCCTCCCTGGTTTGGAATATATACAGTCAATTTCTTTCCGTTACTACCTTTCAACATTATATGTGTATTTTTAATATTATTCCCCTCTCCTAGATATATAAACCCTAAAATTCCTGCCCACAGTTTCAACACTAAAATACTTAGTAAAATATTGTGTATTTTAAAACACTAAATATTTAGTATTGTAGATTCACAATTTAAAAATCCTCAAATTAGGGTTTGGAGCACACAGCTCAGCGATGAATGCTTGCCTAGTGTGTATGAGCCCCAGGGTTCCACCCCTAGAACCAATAAACAAACAAAAATTGTTCATTTTTATTCTTCTTACCAATCAAACTTACCTCTATAGGAATGTAACTATTTGCCAGTGTTCTTTGCTTCTTGTATCCAGCGGCTTTTTCCATTACTCTCACAGCAGAAGTCTGAGAGAGGTAAACTCAGGTTTCGTTAATGTAACATGTCTTTGACATGTTCCTGCTGGCCTCAACCACCAGTGGTACATGCATGACTGTTCCATCAGGTGGCTTGTACTACCTGATGGGGATGTCCCTTGCCACCCAATAGGTGAATCACGCATGTACCACCACTGGTTCAGAGCCACCCAGAAGTAAGATGTATCAATGATGGCCCTGTTGTGAATGTGTTAATGCTCATTCTTGAATTCAAATAGGTCTGAAGTTTTGTTTTTTTTTTTCCGGTACTGGGAATCGAACTCATGACCTCGCGCTTGCCAGGCAGGCACTGTGCCACTGAGCTAACTCCCCAGCCCTGAAGTTTTAGGTTTATAATAATTTTCTGTAATTATTCCATTTCTTTCTGCTTTCTTATGCCAACTGGAATTCTCCTGTGAGATTACCTGTTAAAATAACAAGACTCTTTGCTTTCCAGTTACCTTTACTTCTTGCTGTTGTTACACAGTTTCCCTTACCTATGTGTGCAGTTATTTTTATTTATCCTGATTGGGTGTTGTTTTCTTTTTAAGATCAGACAATTTATGTTTCTAATCAATTCTCGGTTATAATATCTTATAGTTCAGGGATGGCTGTTGGCTACTTTCTCTGGTCTTATTTTAAGCAATTGCTATAAGCTATTTGTTAGACTCTCATTCTTTTATTCACACTTTCTGTATTTATTTTTGCTGTCTCTTTAGGGCTCTGTGCTAGAATCTGAGTTATTTCTTCCCACTTACCTTCCAGTTTAACAGTTCTCTTTTCAGCTAAATCTAATCTGCTATTTTATATATCTGTGGAGCTTTTTATTATCATGATTATAGTTTTTACATCTTGTTTATCAGTTTACTTTTTTTCAGATGTACATTTTTATTTTTTAACATTTTTCTCTATGCTTTGTTTTCTTTTATAGCATTAATTATTCAGATTGTGTTTATACTGACATTTGTTTTTCCTCCTGTACTTTCTAATGGTTGAGTGTTTCTAAGAAATGAGGCAGTAGTTTTCCTCATTGGGGTATATAACTAATATTTTATTCCACTTGTGCTTGACTAATGCTTTCGGTCAGATGTTCCAGGAGGTCCTGGTAAGTCAGGGAAGATCTAAATCAGAGAGTAAGGCTAGGATAATGGCTTTTATCAGAAACTGATACTCTATCTCAAGTGTTTATTGTGTTAGTCTTCTTGTTCCCATATTTTTAGTGAATCCACTTGTGTAGAAGATTCTTTTTTTCTTCCCCAAATTCTTCAGTCTGGATTAAAATCAATCACCTCTACCTTCATAATTTTTTTTTTAATTAAACATGTGTTATTTACCAGGCACTGTAAGTGAGAGCCTAATAAGTTACTCAGGAGATAGAAAATTCCAGAAAAAGAAAATCTAGTATGCATTCTGGTCATGCCTGACCACTTGAGTGTAATTGTGCAAACCGATTAATATTTCTGATCTCAGCTTCTGGGATTGTGTTTGGAGATCTCAGACATGCCTCCCAGAATTGTCATTTGGAAACCCCACTAGCACTTTGAAATTGTTTTCAGTTGAAAATGAAATGCATAAGCTGAATAATAACAAGTAGATTAGTATGGTAATCAGTTTAGGCAACTTTATATATTTTATGAAAGCAAGCAAGGATTTGGTGAGGAATTTTATTTTAAAGCTACCAGAGTTGTGACACCAATAAATCAAAAATATTCCTCGTGATGGCTGTTACTGGGGCAGAAACTCATGTAGCATGCATGATTCATTTATTCTTCTGATCAGAGATAAGTGTATTTTAAAAAAATGTTTAATGAATTGTAAGTGCTAATGGTTGTAAATACTGAAACTTCTCATAGACTTATTTCCATCCTACCAAACTCAGCCTTGGTGTTCAGATGGATGAAAAGATGTAATGGATCACAGTTGTTTTAAGTGGTTTGAGAAGTCAGATTCTTTGTATTTCCAGCCACTGCAAAATAAGAGCCTCAAAGTAAGCCAATTTTCCCAACTCTTGAGCAGCTTATTGCCAGTTATCTCAACTGAATAGAAAATTGTAGTTTGCTTTCAACAACCCACTTTTGTTTGTTTTGCCTCCTTCTCTTACGAAGACACCCTGTTCACACAGAAACTTGCAAAGAGCCTCTTGAGGTTATAGTAGCTTCTTCCGCACTACTCTTCCATGGTTTTGCTATCTGTCATTTCTGATACCTGTCGTCAACCACAGTTCAAAAATTTTCCATGGAAAATTCCAAAAATAAATAATTTGTAAGTCTTAAATGACTGTTATTATTCATATCATTATTATTGTTCTATTTCATTATTTGTTGTTAATCTCTTACTGGATATATGATTAAATTTCTTTTTTGGTGTGTCTACACTGGAAAAACATGATATATACATATATATATATATATATATATATATATAGAGAGAGAGAGAGAGAGAGAGAGAGAAGAAGGGCGGGAGAGAGAGTGTGTTCAGTAATATATAAAGTTTTAGGCATCCATAAAATATCTCACAATGTTCTCCTGTGGGTCCAAGGAGTACTGTGAGGTTTTTCATTTTGGTTATAAAGAAGGAGAGTTCTGGCTTTTCTTCAACAACAGATAGACACAGAGGAGAAAGGGGAAATCTGATGCAAAAGGCACTTACAGTGTTGGCTGGGTTTGAGGCAGATACTATACTCTTGAATCTTGATTTTTTGTTTTGTTATTTTGTGGTGCTAGGGATCGATCCCAAGGCCTTGTGCACGCAAGGCAAGAGTTCTACCAATGAGCCACATCCCCAATCCTCAATTTTTAGAATCTTGGTTTTTAGCCAAGATTTTGACCAAGATTTTGCCATATTTCTAAATGACTTCAGGAGATCTCAACCCATGTATGGAAATGAAGTTCACTTATAACGGTGATTCTCTGTTTCAGCAGCTGCTGCTGCTGCTACTGCTCTTCCCCTTCCTCCTCCTCCTCCTTTTCCTCCTGTGGCTCCTTCTTTTCCTCCTTTTCTCTTTGTACTCCTCCTCCTCCTCTTCTTTCTCTTTTTTAAAGTGAGTGTGGTGGACACTATCTATTACTGGTTGGTTGATGTTCCTCTTGCCTGTCCAGAAGACTAGGTTGTTCTAAGTTCTGAGGTCTGTTTTCTTTGAAGCTTTGGATGAATCTTAATGTTCTTGGGGTCTGAAGTTGAAACTGGGTCTTTCTTTTTTTAGAATTTTATAAATTCATGGACCTTCAGATCTCCAGAGATCACTTAGATGTCAATATAAGGAGATAACATTGAGGCTTCCAGAGAGTGGTTGGACCAGGTGTAGAACTTTATCTCCAGAGCACACACCATCCTTCCTTATTTCATAGTACCTGAGTGAATGGGAGGCCTTATATGAGAGGATAAAATAGCAAGGTATAATAGAAAAAATATAAACTGTGCTATTATGTTTAAGTTTCTTTGTTTTTGCAAGCCTGTTTCTCATTTGTGGCAAGGGAAGAATGCTGACCTCATAGGTCACTGTGAGGTAGGGTGAATTTTGGCATGGCATGCAGGCCTGAGTAGTGGCTTTTATACTGCTGTGTGGAACCCAGCCAGCAGCCCCTGCCTGTAGAGGGAGCAGCTTCTTCCTACGGTCAGTCCCAGGTGCCTGAGTCCTTGCAGGTGCTCCAGCAGTTTACATCCTAATCCCCAGGGCACAGCCTCTTCCCTGTCCACCCTTGATAGCTGATGAGGAGGAGAGCAGTGAAGTGTGACTGTCCCCCTTCTGTGTTGGCAGCTATCTATCACACCTGTGAGGCCTCCAATTTCCAGTGCCGCAATGGGCACTGCATACCCCAGCGGTGGGCGTGTGACGGTGACACAGACTGCCAAGATGGTTCTGACGAGGATCCTGTCAACTGTGGTAAGTGCAGATGCCTTGCTCACTCTGGAGCTTCCTCTGTGTCTGCTGTTCAGGATGAGGCAGGAGCCAAGTCAGGAGGTGAAGTACAGGCTTGCCACTCCCAGGTTTCTCTCACCTGAACAAGCCCGTTTGCTCACTGTGATGTCTTGAGTGGACAATGTTGCCTTCATTCTTTGGCTATCACTTTGCCTGTCACACAACCAGGAGTGTGAAATGCCACCACACCACAAAAACAGTATTCATGGTGCTATTTGACGTCAAATATTCTTAAGGTTTTCTATCCTTGTCCCATTACCAAACAATCCAAAATTTAATAGTATTATACTTATTGTCTACAGGTCTTTATATTGCTTACTTTCCAAAAAATTTATTAGTACAAGTTTGCAGTATATAATGACTATAGACATTGGGGGGAGTTGATACATGCACATAACACATCCTAATTCCTCTCATGTTTCTCTATATCTGTATTTTCTGTAGTTAGCATCTTTTATGGAAGCTTCATACTCAGTTCTTACTGCTACAACCTAATTTACTTAGTTAATTCCTGTCTGGGCTTTCAAGTGCTTTTAGTTTTACACTGTTGTGCTTGTACAGGTATTCACGTCCTTGGAAGTGAAAGCCTGTTCTCCTTTTGGAACATTTCCTGGGATATTGTCATGGTCATTTTTTCATTACTAAGTTATAGTGTTCAACCCTCCCAACATAAAGGAGGAGAAGTTTATTTTGGTTCGTGGTTATAGTCCATGCTGGGTTGGCTCCAAGGCAGAGAGGCATAGCGGAGGAAAGCTGCTCACAGCATGGTGGCCGGGAAGCAGAAAGGAAGAGTAGGAACTAGGGAGGGAGATACAGCCTACCAAGTCACCCTCTCAGTGACCCACCTCCAACCAGGCCCCACTGCCCAACAGTAGGTCAGTGATTGTGTCCCATGACCTAATCATTTCCTGTCCTTTGACTAATTTCCTAAGAATGTTTTTTCTGGGATTAAAACTCACTTTCTTGCCTTTTGTCTAATCCCCATGGAACTCTCTGCCAAACACTGGTTTTGCAAGGCTACAGCTGCCCTGGTAGAATGTATGTTTAAGTCTAATGTTAGCAGTGACTCTGCTTGGGAGAGAGGGTACCCTAGTGTTAGAGCTTCTCATCAGGATATCCTGGTTCTAGCTTAACTCCCCTTGGAACTGGTTATGGAATGCCAAGCTTTTAAACATTTTTAGGCGAACTTTTGCCAAACAGGCTTTGTGCTAGAATTCCTGAAGAATTACGACTGCCAGTGATTCAAAGAGATTTTAAAATCTCGGATTGTATAGTGGAAATTCATGTCCTCATTTTTTCCTATTCAGTGAAACTTTTCTTTTGGTTCTAAAAAATGTAATTAATTTTTGAATATGTAATACATTTACCTGGTTTAAGCTGGAAAAAGTATCAAAACACTACAGGAACAATTGCTTTTCCTGTCTGCCCTGTTCTGACCCTGTCCCTGTAGGAAACCATGCTTTAATATATTTTCAGAACATTTTGTGCCTATGTAGTCATGTAGTGCATAATGATATTTCTGCCAATGACAGACTACATTTATGAGATTATAATGGAGCTGAAAGTTTTCTATCACCTAGTAATACTGTATCCTTTCTCATACTGCAGTGCTTTACTCATGAGTTTGTGGTCGTAAAAAACATACTGTGCCGCCATTTGTATAACAGTATAGCACATAAAATTACAAACAGCATGTGATAATTAAAATACACAACTATGTCACTGACTTACCTGTTTCTTACACAATAGTTTTTATCACTACTGTGCAGTGCACCCCTTCTAATTACTAGAAGTAAAGTTAACTGTAATGTATTGTGCTGCATTACACTGGCAGTAGCATCATACATCTTATGTTTACCACATCTCTTGAATGAATCAAGAGAGCATATTGAGTGATCTATCTATACCAACTAAGTCTGTGTATGTACATTCTGATTTTCGAATGGCAAAAACATTTGAGTAATGGTATGTTTCTGAGAACGTAGCTGTTGTGGTGATGCATAACTATATAAACAAAATTTAAATATTTGCTCTATTCTTGTTCCATTTTATACAAATAATATTGCACTGTGCATGTGGTTTTGTACCTTTCATATAACTGTATATCTGGGAGAAAATTTTCCATATTGCTCCTTTGCAATCTCTGTGTCCCTGTCTACTGTTCTAATGTATAGTCATTTATTAAACAGTTCCCTAATGATGGACACGGTGGTGGTTTTTGATCCCTTACAACTAGTAATGGAACATAACACTTACACTTAAAATTAAGTGCAGATTTTTATCTTATATTTACATTATTTTTCAATTGTGTAGAACACATTTCTACATTTGTACTTGTTGGGTCCAAGTATATATACATTTGTAATTTTGCTAGTTATTGCCAAATTGCTTTAGGGTCCATATAAATTTATCGATACAATTTACCTTGTTGCCCTGCCAACAAGGGATGTGAGTGCCTGCCTGTTTCTTCTTTGTCATTCTTTGTTGTTGTTGGATTACTTTTCAGAGAAGAAGTGCAATGGATTCCGCTGCCCCAATGGCACGTGTATCCCATCCAGCAAACACTGCGATGGTCTACGGGACTGCTCTGACGGCTCGGACGAACAGCACTGTGGTGAGTCCAACACTCACTGTGGTGAGTCCACTCCCCTGCTAGGGCCCACTTGGTATAAATGAAGAGCATCAGGTGGATCAAATCCAGTTGTTTCTTCAGTACTTCTGTTTGGTTAGCTTTTAACCCTTGACTATGGAGTGCTTCACCAGGATTTAGGAACTGATCAAGCAGAGAGACAAGGTTTGGGCAGAGGCGAGCAGGAAGAGGGCTGGGGTCGGTGATCGTGAGAATAGTTTATACTTGGGTGAATATTATGGTTTGGCTGCCACATATACCTCATTTATACTGAAGATGACAATTTTTTGAATTTTTGTGTGACATTTGTAGGTGCTATGTAAGAAAAGTCAAGAAACAAGAATTTGAAGAAAAAGACTTTTTTTATGTTCGATTGTTATAGGTGATCCAGAACTGTAACATTAGGCACTGAAGGATTACTACAAGTCAACCATTTATTTTCAATTAGGCACTTGCTTCTTCTTGAAGGGTTTCATAAGTGTTGCTGATTGTCACTTAGGAAGGATCATATGTCAGGTGACCCTTTCTAGCCCCAATTTTCTTTAGATTATCTTGGGTTAGCAGTGTTTGGCCTTGAGTCTACAGTGGAATCACCTGCAGAGCCAGTGCCTGGGCATCAACCCCAAACATTCTGGGTTGATTAGAGTGTGGCGCTTGGGCCTTGTTTTTTTTTGTTTTTTGTTTTTTTTTCTTTTTAGACAGTGTTGCAGGTATTTGTAATGTGCAGTCCACAGTGAGAACTAATGTTAGGGGTGGCAAACCGGCCTATGGACAAGATTCAGCCCATAATCTGTTCTTTTAAATGAAGTCGTATTTGAGCACAGTAACTACTGCTTTTGCTTATATACTGCGTGGGCTGATCTCATGCTACAGTGGTGAAGTTGAGCCGCTGTAGCAGGCTGTATGTTTGCAAAGCCTAGCATCTCTGCTTTCTGGTTGTGTTAGTAGGGTTCTTCACAGAAACAAAGCCAGTAAGATATTAGAGAAAGAGACAGACAGAGGCAGAGAGACAGAAGACATATTTATTATAAGTTCTTGTTTCATGTGGGGACTGGCAAATACAATATTTGCAGAGTGAACCAGCAGGCTGGAGACTTGTGGCAAGCTGAGGTCACAGTTCAAATCTGAAGGCTCTTGGCTAGAGACCCAGAAGAGAAGCAATTGTAATTCACCTTTGAAGTCCCATTTCTGCTGTGTGCTCCCATGGCCTTTTCTCCCTGTTTACATACCTGCTATCTCTTCTTGCGACACCAATCCTGTTGGATTAGGGCCTGACTCTTATGACTTCGTTTAAACTAATGATATTTTTTTAAAGGTCCTCTCTCCAAACACAGTCACACTGGGGGATTAGAACCTCAGCATAAGAATTCTGGGGAGAAAGGGTAGGCATAATTCAGTTCATAACACTGGTCCCATACAGAAAAAGTTTGTCAGCTCCTATATTAGGGAGTGAGGGTCATATTAATAGTGAGTTAGATCATGGGCTTCGATGCCATTTAGATCTGGATTTCACTGTGGCTTCCCCTTCATCAGTTGTTTATTCTTGGCACCATACTCAATGAATGCGCCCCCTATTTTTTTCATTTTAAAAACAGAGATGATTAAATCTCTTACAATGTTGCCTTGAGGGGTTAATGATGTTCTTTATAACAAGTACTTGATACTTTGGCACAAAGCAAGTGCTTGATCAACAGTGGCTGTGACTATTGTTTCCTAAATGTACATCTGTACCAGTGTCATTTGCCAGGAGGCGGAGGGAGCCCAGCTGGCCCCAGGCACTCATGGCCATTTCTCTTCCCATCCCCTTACAGAGCCCCTCTGCACGCGCTTCATGGACTTTGTGTGTAAGAACCGCCAGCAGTGTCTGTTCCACTCCATGGTGTGTGATGGGATCATTCAGTGCCGGGATGGATCAGACGAGGATCCTGCATTTGCCGGATGCTGTGAGTGGGGCTGGCTGGGAGTCATTCATGGGCATGAGGTTGAACTACCTTGGGATGCACTTCCACCTGGTTAACAGATTTCAGCAGAGTGTCCGAGTTTGCCTTTTCTGAGAGTTACCTTTCTTACTTAAGAAGTGCTGCTGTTTAGTTGTTAGTATATGTATTAGGGGATTAGGCCCCACTCTAATGGTGAATGACCACGATCTTGGCTGACATGTCACCTCGTCCAGAGGCCTTCCTTAGCATTCTGTACTCAGTAGCCAGTCTCTGTACCCCTCTACCTGTTCCTAAGATCTTCACAGCACTTTTCCTGCATTGTATATATGATGTATTTGTTTTACGATCTACCTCCCCTGCTAGAATATGAATGTCACCAGAGAAGGTACTCTATTTTATTCATTGACATAGCCTCAAACAGTGCCCTGCATATGGCCCATGTGCTTGGGATGCGGTAGCAAAGTGCCACAGATTGAATGACTTATACAACAGCAATGTATTCTCTTGCAGTTCTAGAGACTGGAAGTCCAAGGCCAAGGTGCTGGCAGGTGGTTTCCTCGGAGACCTCCTTCTTGACCTGCTATATGGCCCTCTTTTCCCTATGTCTTTGCATGGCTATTCCTCTCTAAATGCCTGTGCCTAAATTTATAAGAATACCAGTCATATTGGATTAGGGCCCACCCTCCTGCCCTCATTTTAACTTTAATTAGCTCTTTAAACATTATGTCCAAAACAGTCACTTGTTTGAAGTACTGGGGATTAAGACTTTAACCTGTAAATTTCGGGAGGATAAACTCAGTCTGTAACAGTACTCATAAAGTTCTGCAGAATGAATTAACTAACAAAAGGTGTTTTCCATTAAGATTTAGTTTGTTCCTGCGTCTTGTTTCTGAGGCAGCACTGTTGCCTTGACTTCTCCGGCACACAAGTAATCTGTAATTACGGATATTTGTTCCTTATGTAGCCCAAGACCCCGAGTTCCACAAGGTGTGTGATGAACTTGGTTTCCAGTGTCAGAATGGAGTGTGCATCAGTTTGATTTGGAAATGCGATGGGATGGATGATTGCGGCGACTACTCTGATGAAGCCAACTGTGGTGAGATTTTAGATCTGTGTATCCTCGCCTTCCAGTGACAGTGATACCTGTAAGAAGGAGAAAATGTTAGCTAGAAATCACCTGAAGAATTTGTTTCCTCCTTCCTTAGCAGTACCTGCTGCAGTTCTCAAATCCCCAATTAAAGAATTGAGAGAAGTGGGGACCTCAGATCTTGTAGGTGCCAGGGAAATGTTTATTCCATTTCCTGTCCTTTCCCCAATTAAGAGGGTCACATTATATCTAGAGAACACAGGCTAGGTGAGGACTTGTGGTACATGTTACAGAGCGTACTTTTTCTTTCCTGAAGTAACAAACTACAACATCACCACTGAGTTATCATCAATTCTTAGGTTATTCCTTTGATGGAATGTCAAAATTAAAAAACCAGGCGATTATTCCGAGGATCCCAAAAAATAAGGCAGAAAAACAAGAGCTGAGGGCTGAGAACCAAGTGCTATTGTTTGTGGGTATGCTATGTTGACCTTGGGTCCTCGAAGCTACATGTGGTCTCTGGAAGGGAAGTGTAGGTGGGCCTGGCTTTGGGTTTTGAGGAGGAGGTACACAGGAGGAGCTTAGTGTTTGCACTGGCTCCGGGAACACGGCTGATGGTGTGTTTGATTTCTGCAGAAAACCCCACAGAAGCTCCCAACTGTTCCCGCTACTTCCAGTTCCGGTGTGAAAATGGCCACTGCATCCCCAACAGGTGGAAATGTGACAGGGAGAATGACTGTGGGGACTGGTCTGACGAGAAAGATTGTGGAGGTGAGAAGGAAGCCTCAGGGTAGTACATGGGCAACCCAAGGTTATGACACACCAGAACAGTTTCACCTGTCTGAATAGACTCTACCTTCGTCTCTTTAGTGCCTGACGTATTCCTCATATTTTTGGATTCTTTTTGGAGTTGTGACCCTGAGATATTTTTAACCCCTCCCTTTCATTTTGAAATCAGGATGATCGGTTTCTCCTGTTGTCAAGGTTATTCTTTGCAGATTTTGCTGAGCGCAGCCAGCTGTCTAGAGCCCTGCTGTTCAGTGTGGTCTGCAGACCGGTAGCATCTGCATCTCCTTGAGCTTGTTAGACATGGAGAAGCTCAACTGGGAGCGGTGGCACAGGCCTGTAATCCCAGCACTTTGGGAGGCTGAGACAGGAGGATTGCAACTTTGAGCCCAAGCTGGGCAAGTTAGAGTTTTATCGAAACCTTATCTCAAAATTTAAAAATTTTTAAAAAGACTGGGGTATAACTCAGTGTCAAGACCTTGGGTTCATTCAGTCCTTAATAACAGACACACACACACACACACACACACACATACACACACACAAATGCAGAATCTGTGGCCCTGCTCTACACCTACTGAATGAGAATCTGCACTCTGACGATGTCCCTGGATCCTGCATGTGCTGTGATGCACCGAGGAGCACTGATGAGGATACATAACTTTTCTACTTCCCTCTTGGTGTTCTCACCTCCAAGGCAGGTCTTGGGGTCATTGTGATGAATTAACTACAACAGTAGGACTTCTCCAGCCATCCTGTGTCTTCCAGGCCACCTGTTCTTTCCATCGGACCTCACAAGTCCCCACAAAAGCACACTCACCTGTTAGCTGGTATCCATCTGATAGTATGGTAACTCTGCTCCCCAAAAGGGAACCGACACCCTCTTGCAAGTGATTTGCAGATGGGCTACTGTTCCGAGCTGTGCTTGTCACTGGCTTCTCGGCTGCAGTAGCTAAGACTGGTACATCTACACCAGGTTTGGGACACATGTTGTCTGAGATCAAGCTTCCAGTAATGCTCTGGATTTTCTCACTTGGTGTTTTCCTCAGATTCACACGTTCTTCCCTCTCCCACACCGAGGCCCTCCACGTGTCTGCCCAATTACTTCCGCTGCAGCAATGGGCCCTGCGTGATGGACACCTGGGTGTGCGACGGGTACCGGGACTGTGCAGATGGCTCGGATGAGGAAGCCTGCCCCTCACTTGGTGAGCCCTGTCCCTTCCTCCCTCCTGTGGCTCTTGCTGTGGGAAGAGAACATTGTAGGAGCAAAGCCTGGCCACAGCCTGTACTTCTTACCAGCATTGTGCCTTTAGGGCAGAGAGACTTCTGGTGCTGCTCCTGGGACAGGAAGTCCAACGGGAGCTGAAACTGCAGCATCTCATTTTCCAAACTGCCCTCCGAACTCCCTGCCAGAAAAGGCCAGCCACCTGCTTCCCACCCCTGCTGCGGTTGGGCGGCCTCCGCTTCCTTCTCTGTGGGAAATTGCAGTTGGGATGATAGGGAGGTTTTTATGTGTGTATTAAACTCTCAGAGGACAGGGTCCAATTTTCCTGCTTGCTGGTTGTCAGGCCTGTGCTTCTAAAAGAAGAGTGAGCACTGCCATCTAGTGGCTGAACGTGGAGGCAGCTGCAGTTCTGTGGGAGAACTGTAGTGCTGGGGTGGGTGGAAGCTGGCTGCTCCAGATCCCATCTACCTGGTGTGTGCCCTCCACTGCGGGCAGAAAAGCTAAGGATGCTGTGTTTCTCCCTAAGCAGGAGTGTGTTTCAAAGTCATTGACAAGAAGAGAATGGATACTTGTTTGCTATGCTTTGCATCATGCTTGTCCTAGGAGACTTCTAACAGTCTGAATTTCTTTCAGTATAACTGTGCTTCCCTGTGTAAAAATCACCACTGATGTCCTCTTGCTCTTTTCTCTAGGAGATCAATCCTTGATGCTCAATTCGTGCTTCCAAGGCCCTTTGTGCACCAACTCCTCCTTGCCTCCATTAATTCTTACATCAGCCTGGCCGAACTCCTCATCCATGAGGAGATAGACTTGCTTCCTTCCCACTGTACATTTGCAGCAAGGTTTCTGCCCTTAACAGAAACTCCTGTACACTCTCTCTCTCTTATTTTTCCTGTCTCTGAGACCCTGCACCCATCAAGGCAGACAGAAGCCTAGATTTTATAGCAAAGAGAGCTCACTATGTTATAAGTATTTCTCAAAGGATGGCCCATTGAATACCTATATGGAATCACCTGAGGTGGGTGGAGCCTAGGAGAGCCCCATGTGCTTCTTAGGTTCCCTGAAGTTTGAGATTCCTGCTTCAAACCACTATGGCTTGACTGTCCCCTTCAAGCCCTACCTCCAGGTTCTTTCCCCAACTCTTTTAACTGATGTTGGAAAACACCAGTTGTTTTCCAGTATCATTGGATTTACTGTGGTGTTTTCCAGTATCATTGGATTTACTGTGGCTCTTTGCATTCATAACTGTGACCTGCCTGGTATTGATTCCTATTTTTTTTTGTGTGTGTAGGCCCTTTTTTCTATAAGAGTTATGGGGAACTGCTGCTTTGGGATCATGCTATATTCTGCTTTGAATCTTTTGCTGTGTCCGCCACAATGACAGGCAAATGGCTGGTGCCCCATACATGCTTCTCAAACTAAAATGAACTGTAAAAAGAGAAATCTGTTACCTCTGTCCTTTCCTTTCAAGGCCCATCTGTCTACCGAGTAACTTGCTTATCCTTCTCTGAAAATGGTTTTTTGTTACTAAGACTCTGACCAGAATATTAACATACTCTAGCAAACTCTGACTAAGCTAGTGAGCAAAGCCTTAGTTGTATATCTCACTCAGCTTTTGTGCCTTCTTTCTGTGTAGATTGTTGGTGCGAATTTGAACTTGGTGTTGTCTCCAGCCATCACCTCTTATTTTTTTAGTGTAGAAGTCTTCTAACTGGCTTTTTGCCCTCATTTCTCCCCTTTTCTGCCTGTCTTCCAGTAAGACACATGCTGATATGTATTCACAGCCACCCCTGCTCTTGGGGCTTTCCAGTGGCTCCCTTCTTGTCCAAGAATAAGTGGCATCATTTGCCTTGGCTTAGCTTTCTAGGGCCTTGGTAATTTTAGAGTTACCTCTGACACTGGTCAGTTTCCCCAGAGAGAATTCCTACAATTCCCTGCCTAGACAATAGAGATTTTTTATGGGGTTCTTGGGGCAAGATATGAGATCTTCACCTTCTGTTGTCTGTAGGTTTAATCTCAGCTTTATAGTAAGATGTTCTTATGCCCACTATGCCTCTGTGAGCAGCTCTCTATTTTTATTTTGCTCACATGACAACCTGCCAGTCTTCTGTTGGGATGAGGTATGTGCTGATCGTCTCATGGGGCTGTTAGGTGGAAGGGATGTAGGGGATGTAACCACTGCTTTTTTGTTGTTGTTTTTGTGGTACTGGGTGGAACCCAGCTTTGTGCGTGCTAGGTGAGCATTCTACCACCGGGTTATGCTCCCGGCCCCTGTACCTGTTTCTTAAACATCTTTCAGTTGGTTCCTTTATTTTATTTCCCCCCTTCTTCACTCCCAGTTAAGAGGAGCCAGTTTCTGGGCTTTTTGAGGAATTCATGGTATCGAACTGGTTGTTTCTTGTTGTTTCTGCTCTCGCAGCTCAGAGTAGGATACAAGCTTCTTTCATCTCTTTAGTCACTTGCCACTGTTTGTCTGCTTTCCAGCTTCCTAAAGTTCATTACTTTTGTCTGTTTTCCTGTTCTCCATGCCCTTGTGGGTTTAGGTCTGTAAGATCAGTCTCTGAACTAGGTCTCTAGTGGGTCCTGTGAGGGAGCAAATTAGGTGTCAGCATGCAATCTGCTGTCTTGGTCCAGAGCGTACACTTGTCTTCAGGTGCCCACAGCAGTCCCTGAAGCACTGTACTGTCCTAAGAGTTGTTGCTGTTACTGCCAAGCTCCTCAGTACTAACACGTGAATTTTTAAAATCTCTTTTCCAGCAAATGTCACTGCCCCCTCCACACCCAGCCAGGTTGGGCGCTGTGACCGATTTGAGTTCGAGTGCCACCAGCCGAAGAAGTGCATCCCCAACTGGAAGCGCTGCGATGGCCATCGGGATTGCCAGGATGGCCAGGACGAGGCCAACTGCCGTGAGTAGTTAGGGCAGGCTTGAGAGAGTTGCACTGTGTGTTTGTGTGTGTGTGTGTGTGTGTGAGAGAGAGAGAGAGAGAAAGAGAGAGAGAGAGAGAGAGAGAGAGAGAGAGAGAGAGAGTCCAGGCACTTCTGTGTAATTATGCTTTCATAGTATTCTCCACAGGGACTTCACGGCACAAATCCACATCATATTATATGATAGTCACATTTTTAATAAGTTGTTTATTTTAAATATGAGGAACAGACCCATTAAAAATTTTTCGGAGGGGATGAGAAAAATAAATAGGGATTTTGTTATATATTTCAACTGAGTGAGATACCTGTGGGTAAAGCCATTATCTTTCATATGTGCATTCACTCTTCTTGATGTATTTAGTGAGTATCTGTGAGGTGTAGAGACCATATTATTTGGGCAGGATCACCTCCAGCACCCCATTAAGAAATTCAGCCTTAGACCCTAGGGTAATTCCAGTTGGTGAGGCTGAACCCAGTGTGAAATAATGTCCCCACTGTGTATGGGTTCTGAGCTGAGACATTTGTCAAGCATAATCGGTCTTGACCCCTGATTCCCCAGTGTACCCATGGAGGACCCTTGGAGTAGGTGATAGAGGGAGACCATGGCCCTGTGAGCTGACTGAGGTTTACAGTGTATGTTCAGCAGGGATGTCCTACATCTCAGCATGACTCTTAGGAGGCAGCGGGTAAAAGTAGACAACCTCGAAGTGAGGATACAGAGATGAGGTCATGCATTTCCTCCTCATCCAAAAGACAGAGCGTTTTGGTCCCTGGCTGCACACGAAGTCCACCTCTGGTCTGATGGATAGAACTGTAAAGATTTGGGGAGTGTGTGGCCAAAGAGTACCCATCTCTCATTATCAGCATGCCTCTCTGATGATGGACACTGCTGTGGGTTGGGGCTCCTTCCTCTTGGGGGTCTCCTCTCCATCAAATCATTTACTGACTATAGGCAGAGATGTCCCAGCCAATCACATGCCCTTTACTACCGGGCAGAGCATTTGTCTATGTCTAATTTTCCTCTGGTGAACATAGAGTGGCAAAGACTGACCCTCTTCTAAGCAGAGAGCCCCTCTTAGCCCTAACCACGCAGCAAGTGTCTCTAGTCCTCTTCTTTGATTCCTGTTTTGGTCACATTTCTTTCTTTAACAATTTGTAAGTGAAAATTAAAGCCCCAAATGGAACTCTACCCAATGTTACCATTTCAGGGTAGAACAGGATTAAAAATAGAGAATGTTAGTTATTTCTTAATTCTTCTCAGTAGTTATGAAAGTTATATAACAGCAGAATCATGTGAGAAATGCTTGTGAAAAATGTAAGTTTGGTCGTTTTTGACCATTGAATCAGGAGCAGTTGCCAGGAGGACGCTCAGGATTGCATCCCTCTGTGACCCTTAGCATCAGACCAGTGTGGTAAATTCTGTGCTATCCTAGATATTTGGTGTGTGTCTGGTAAGAACTTCAGTCTGGCTGGACAAATACTTGTTGATCACACAGGATTTGGAGGCACAAATTCTAACGGGAGAAACATGAGCACCCAGTTGCATCTCAGTATAAGGTGGGCAGTAACAGAAGTGGTTTCAAGGAACTGATGTAGTCCAGAAGTAGACCACGCCATCTTCCTGGAGAGGTGGGAGCTGGTCAGGAAAAGCATCGAGCTGGTGACTCCTGAGTGGGTTTTGTTTGCTTGTTTATTTTAAGAAATGTTTTCCTACTATGTCACCTAGGTTAGTGCTGAGCTCTTGGGCTCAAGTGATCCTCAAGCCTCGGCCAAGTAGCAGGAACTACAGGTGCACACCACCTTTCTCAGGTCTGGAGGAGTATTAATGGAGAACAGTGAGGCAAGGTGACAGATGACAGGCATCGTGGGGACAGCATGGACACCTAGAGGCTCAGAAGCGTAAGAAAACAGGTCTGAGGAGGGCCGCAGGCAGGGCAAAGTTTGAGTGCAGAGAGACAGGCGAGGGACTTGGGTAGACCATCCATAGTAGGACTTTATCCTTCTGCTCATAGGAAACCATTGCAGATTTTAGCAGGAGTGGAGGTACCCTTACATTTTAGATCACTCAGACTTTGTTATGAGCGGGAATGGGTTGAACAAGGAGGATGTGAGATTGGAATCCAATGCCAGTAAGGAGTCTAATGTGATAGGACTATGAAAGTGAAACAAGAAAAATATATTTTAGTATATCAGGGGCCGGAGCAGTCAAGAGGAAGGAATAATGAAGTCCTCGCCTCTGGATGACTGGAATACTGTAGCTGCCGGCCAAGGTGGGGGTGCCAGGCTTTCCTGTGTGGGGCTGGGACCATAATGGGCTCCCTTATTGACAGTGGAGGCTAAACTAGTGTGAGGCTTCCTAGTAGAAAGTTAGAGGAAGGTCTGTCATTGTAGGAGTTGTTTTGATCCTGCTCATGTGACATCTTCATTGTCAGGGGTCTTCTCCACATGATCTCCAATGAGTCTTTGCCAGGTTGCACACTTGCATGGTTCCCCATAACTGTCTCTATAGTTTTCAACCTGTGGAGACAGATTTCATTATGTCCTGGAGGTCTTGCTAGGCTGCTGACTTGAGGCAGAAATATTAGCCAAGTTCTTAACCTGACATATGAAACTTACTCATTTCCAAATGTATGGGATTTTTTTTCCTTCACCTGTGCTTTTTGTATACAAGTTACAAGACCCCCATCAATCGTGCTGCTTTTATTTTCCACAAAAGTCATTTCTGTTTTTGTTCTGTTTGTCTGAAAGATCCTTTCTTTGTCCAAAAGTCAAGGAGTTTGATAAGCTGTTAGTTAGGGATCTCTGTTCAAGAAATACCCTTTTACTGTCGCCCTTTCTTCATTTTCTGGGTGGATTTGTTTTGTCTGCTTGTTGTTTAGATTAGGAAAATGGTAAGGTAGTCCATTAATAACATCTTCAGTAATCAGGAACTGAGTAGATACAGGTACATGTTGAGGATGAATTGTACATCAGTACACTTGGTTCTAATTATCAGGAACTCAGAAACCAAAAAGCCTTTGACTGTATTGCCTGTGTATTAGTTTTTCTTTTCATTATTATGCCTATTGGCGTTCTTGCTCTTTTGGCTTTTGTTTTATTTTTCTCTTTATCGTAAGTGGTCTTCAGGCGGCTTCGACTTTGCTCCTTATATGTGCTGTTATAATGTTCCCTGATACTTTTCAAGTAGCTCTATCCTGCTCAAAATGTCATCAGTGACTTGGATGAAAATTTGACAGGCATGCTTGTCCTATGTGCAGGCAATAAAAGTCAACAAGATAATTTTTTGTGCAATAATTAGGACTTAAGAAAGGAAACTAACATTTGACAGTGGAGTTTAATGTATCTTTCATTATTCTTATGTAAATCATATATTTATTCCACTTAATTTTCAACCTTGTGATTTGGTATTGCTCCATTTTAGAGCTAGGAAACTGAAGGTTCTAAGAGGACCACTTAGTCAGTAACAGACGGAGATATTTCCTGAGATATTTCCCACAAAGACTTGTGATCTTTCCGTCATATTATTTGTGTTGAAAGTTCTTATGATGGAAGGGTATCCCACATTAAACACTGAGAGTTTAAATAGGGATTAGTGTAAAATTCTATGCTTACATTAAAAGTATGAAAAAGTTGACCCTATGACATTGAAACAACAGGACAAGTTGACCCTGTGCTCACCAAAGTGACAGTCGGAAACTTTGAGCCTGGTAACTGTACATTAAGGTGAACATGAAAAATAACTACTAAAGCGGAAAAGAAATAGGATCACCCGCCTGGGTGATAGTAACTCATTAATTGAATGTCTAAGCCACCGTCGTCAGCCTGTTTCAAATCTGTCTTTTTTTTTTTTTTTTTTTTTTTTTTTTTTTTTTT